CAGGGATGGAGAAGGAGGAGAGGCAGTGGTTAGACCCCCCTCCAACCAGAATGAGCCACTTCATTTCATATACCAGGTACTGCTTAAGGGTTCATGGGAAAATACGTCTCACAGCTAAAAACATTTGAAAACCATCACTCTAGACTTTAAAAACATTCTGATCAAATATACATAACATAAAATTTACTGTCTTCAGCATTTTTGAGTGTACAGTTCAGTAGTGTTAAGTATTTTCAGTGGTTGGGGAACCATCACCAGCATCCACCTCCAGAGCTTTGAAATCTTAGTTCTTGCAGAACTAAAGCTCCATACTTGTTCAACAACTCCCCATTCCCTCCATCCCCCGAGTCCCCACTCCAGACATTTTTTAAAATGTTTTAAAAAAGATTTTATTTATTTATTTGAGAGAGAGAGAGAGAGAGAGAGGATAAGAGAGAGAGCATGAGGAGGGGGAGGGTCAGAGGGAGAAACAGACTCCCTGCCCAGCAGGGAGCCTGATGCGGGACTCGATCCCAAGACTCCAGGATCACCACCTGAGCTGAAGACAAACGCCCAACCAAGTGAGCCACCCAGGCACCCCCGACTCTGACCTTTTAAAGACAAAATGAATGGGTGGCTTCAGTTACAGAATAAAACAATCCACGTTTGTTGAAGGATCCTACATAAATATACAAAGACTGGGGCGCCTGGGTGGCTCAGTGGGTTAAAGCCTCTGCCTTCGGCTCAGGTCATGATCCCAGGGTTCTGGGATCGAGCCCCGCATTGGGCTGTCTGCTCAGCAGGGAGCCTGCTTCCTCCTCTCTCTCTCTGCCTGCTTCTCTGCCTACTTGTGATCTCTGTCAAATAAATAAATAAAATCTTTAAAAATATATATATATACAGGGACACCTGGGTGGCTCAGTTGGTTAAGCGGCTGCTTTCGGCTCAGGTCATGATCCCAGGGTCCTGGGATCGAGTCCCACATCGGGCTCCTTGCTCAGCGGGGAGCCTGCTTCTCCCTCTGCCTCTGCCTGTCACTCTATCTGCCTGTGCTCACTCTCGCTCGCTCTCTCTCTCTTTGACAAATAAATAAATAAAATCTTAAAAAAAAATATATATATATATACAAAGACTTGGTTAAAAGACTTTATAAGGTAACCACACTTTCTGAACTCAAAGTAAGAGCTAGTTATTCAGGTTGCGATGCAGGTGCGTGGAGTCCTTTTAGAACCGAAAGCACCAAGTGCCTGTATTCCTGTTCATGCTTTTACTCACAGGTCGGCACCCTGAAGCTTTCGATAAGGAACCCAGCAGGTTGGCTGAACCTCGGCGCCCCACTTCTCCTTTCATGATGTCTTTGTAAACCTCACATTTTTTTCTACTTAGTAGGGATACGCAGACCCAAAAGAAAGAAATAGGATTTTTATCTCTGTCCCTGTAAGAGTCTGAACAGAAACAGGATCATTGGGTCTGTCAAGGGCTCCATCTGGATCCTTCTGTGTGGTTGCCCTGACAACCTTGAGGTATTTTAATTTTTTTAAATTAAGAAGGTAATACAGTTTAGCTTTCCTCTCTGAATTTAACCCACTTCATTAGAGATCTAGCTAAAAAAAGACTTTCCCAAGATTTTGAGACATTTCGCGAAGTCTGAAGTGTAAGACATCACTGCCTACCACCTGTAGTGTTTGAAAATGAGGATTCCAGCCCCGGAGCTGTTTAGAAAGCTGCCAATCAGAGGCCCGGGGATGTCTTTGGATTCGGATGCTGTTCTTCAAAGATTTCCCAGGCCACGTACTCAACTGTTCCCTTGCAGGGACAGAGCTGAGCAGGGACAAGAGTCTTCTATATTCTGCCATCTTGGGCACACACACAAGGCGGGCTCAGGTTTTGTTTTGTTTTCTCTCTTTCTTTTTAAAGATTTTATTTATTTATTTGAGAGAGAGAGAGAATGAAAGCAAGCGAACATGAGAGGGGTAAGGTCAGGGAGAAGCAGACTCCCTGTCGAGCAGGGAGCCTGATGCAAGCCTCGATCCCGTGATTCCAGGATCATGACCTGAACTGAAGGCAGTCACTCAGCCAACTAAGCCACCCGGGTGCCCTCTCAGGCCCTTTTCGAGAGATGGAGCGCATTCTTCTTTGCTTACCAAGGAATCAGCTCTCATCTTGTTAGACGTGTCATCTGCAGGGGCTGGAGATGGTGAAGGTCCTGGCTGGGAGACTGATCGCATGCACTCACAGGAGGTGCAGCTGAGTGTATATGCAAAACACGTGCGCCCTGGCACTGTATCAGCGGCTGGGTGTGGCTGCAGCTCAGGGCCAGGACTCCGTGTGTGCTCCCCCAACCCCCAGAGAGCCCACCCTTTGTAGACACCCTCTCGACACTGGGTCCGCCTTCTGATCCAGCACCATTAGCTTCACATAGACCTGTTAGGGCGGGCGGTAGCCAGAGGCCCACCTGCTGCCATGGCTGGGCACCCAGGAAGAGCACTGTGCCATGCCTCCCTGCGGTTAGGGCGGGGCCGGTTCCTGGTTCTGGACAATGACTGCTTGCAAAAGCCATGGCTACCACTTCTAGGCCTGGCCAGGAACATCTGTGCTTTCCCCTTCACTCTGTCTGCTCGCCCACTGGCCAGAGGAATGCAGAGGACTAGCATGGGGCTCCCAGCGGGCCCCAGGGAGCCATACTGAGCGGGAGCCTGGAGCAGGGCAGAAGGCTTGCTGGTGAACAGCCCCCCTGGTGCAGTCAGTGGAGGGGTCAGTGGCTGGCAAGGAGGGACTGGTGGCGGCAGCTGGTCAAAGTCGCCTCAGCAAATTCTCCCCATGTGGCTTGATTTTGAAAATGCGGTGGAGCTAGTGGTGACGGAGGCGGCAGAGGGCTGGTGGTGGGAGACAGTGTCACCTTCCAGGGCGAATGTTCTGTGGCCATGGTGGAGAGGATGAGGGGAGCCAAATGTGAGGCCTGCGGGCAGGCCACATGGACGCCAATAGTGGCGGTGCTGGGGCTGGTGTTCCTGGCATCAGGAGTGGTGAGGTACTGCGGTCCTGTAGGGGACAGCGGTGGCCAGTGGGGGATGGTTGGTCGTGGTGGTAGGATCTGTGGTTGCTGGTTTGGTGGCTGGGGAGCGGGCAGGGACTGTGTACGTGGCTCTGTGGTGGCCACTTTGCTGGCCTGGGCCAAAGACCACTGGGACAATGCAGGTGGCAAATTGAATCTCCCAGTGCACCTATCTCCCTGAGGATTCTCGTCTGAATCCTCCATTCACCGTGGGAGATGCCTGCCCAGCTGCTGACAGTCCCTCTCCTCCCAATGCCCACGGGGACATCATCCTCGGCACTGGGGATACTGTGCTCCTCGGGATCCTGGAAGGTTCTCATGGGACCAGCCGCTCAGCTGGAAGAATCAAGGTTTATGATTGCTATTGTGCCCAGACCTGTGGCTGCAGGTGTTGGGCTCAGGAAGGAGCACGAGCAGAAGTTAGGGGCACCCCGCCCAGAGAGTGGGGGGCCGAAGGTCCTTAGTCTCAGGAAGCTTTCAAGGTGGCACTTTTCAGGTGTGAAAGGGGAGCTGTCATGGATCAGGCCTGTGAAGTGACTGTCAGAGGTCCTGGGCTTGTGTCCTCTGGCCAGTGTGAGGGAGCAGTACCTTCCTCCCGGGGTACGAGAAGAAGGACCCATGGCCCGTCCTTCATGCAGGGCCGCACACATCCTCAGTGCCAGCTTTTCCCGTTCTCACGAGACAGCTGATCCGACTGCCGAAATCACTGACTCCCAGCCCGTGCACCCCATCCAGCCGATTACTGGGTTTTATTTGTGCTGTTGGTATTTCCGTAACAGGTTTTGGATTTAGTTGCTAACACTTGAGTCCGAGATGTCCCACACAGATGTAGATTTCCAACCCTCCCTGGAAGCTTGGGAAGACTTGGTGCTCAGGTCCACAGTCTGCAGGGAGCCTTAGGTAGAACGCCCGCTCACGGGTTTGCCGCAGGCTCCACCTCTCCCTAAAGCCCCTCCCCACCCCCAAATTTGGGCCTCCTGCTCCACTCTGCGGTTCTGTGCCCACCTGGCCTTCCCTGCGGGACCCTCTGAGCCACAGGTCCACTGAATGGGTCTCCTCGAGGGAAGGGCCTCAGTGTAATTATATCGGGGTTTGGGGTGGCCAGAACAGACCCAGCAATATTCTCTCACATGGTGGAGAAAAGATTATTAGCTTAACTGCTGGCATCAGAATTCCTCTGAGGGAGAGAAGTGTCTTATTTGAAGAATTTGGTGGCCATTGCTGGGGATGGAAGTAGGACTCCAGTTTGCGGCTGTCTCGTGTCAGCCGCCGGAGTTTCCATGCGAAAGGGAAGAATTTGTTGTTTTGTTTCTGAAGAAGAGGGCTAGAGAAGAGGAAGAAGAGAGAAAGCTTATCAGAGAAGATGAGGAAGGATGGGACCAGGTGAGCAGGTGTCTTCATGGCCAAAAGGAAACAGTGGTGTGTGTGCCTTTCAAGGTTATGTCTGTCAGAGAAGGAAATGGCTCTCCTCCTCCCCACCCACGTTCTTCTGTGCCTCCTGCTCTGCTTGCTGCCGTGGTGGGGGGAGAGCACACTTTCTGTGGAATTAAGAGAGGAGCTAAAAGCTGATGTGACATTTGCGTGGCCCCTCTGAAGTGGCCCATGCAGGAAGTAGGTGCCAGGATGGAGGAGAGCATGAGGACTGTGACAGCCTGGGACCCGGAGGAAGGGCTCGGGATGTCCACAGACTGGGATGGAGGGTAGCTGGTGTGGAGGAGATGGGACAATCCCCGCACTGGGGGACAGAGAAGCCCCAGTTGGTATCTGGTTATAACAAAATGGACCCAGTTTTCCAGAAAGAGCCAGACTTGGGTGCTGAAAGGAAAAATAACCAAAATTCTGAACTTGGATAAAATGGTCGAGCAGCCAGTTTATTTTGAGTTACTGGTGGCCCTGATGCCCAGGCCTGGCGGGGCCTGGGGAGGGACTCTGGGGACTCTGGGGAGGTGACCCTGGGGACCTGGCCTCAGTCAAAGATCTCTGTAGCAGTGCACAGGAGGCCGGCCAGGAGAGCCAGGCCCAGCATGGCCACGACAATCAGCAGCACATCCCACCAGAGCCCTGGGTAGGTCCAGGACTCTGGGAGCTGCCAGCCGCAGCTCCCCAGCTCGAAGCCCGTGAGCTGGCCCAGGGGGCGGGCCGTGGCAAGCTCGGGGCTGGCGCAGCGGACATGCAGCAAGGCCTCGGGCGTGTGGTCCTCCAGCCAGAGACGCAGGTAGGTGAGGCTGCAGTCACAGTGCCAGGGGTTCTGCGTCACGTCGAGGATCTGCAGCTGGGGCAGGTAGTCGAAGGCGCCAGGGGGCACAGAGCTCAGGCTGTTATTAGCCAGCAGGAGGTGACGGGTGTGGACAGGCAGCGCGGGCAGGGCCGTGAGCCCCTGTCCCTGACAGTCTACCCACAGCCCCATGGTTTCCAGGGCCCGGCAGGTACACTCGGTGGGGCAGTCGTTGGTAGCCTGTGCGGCAGCCCAGAGCAGCAACAGGGCCCCCCAGGAAGGCATTGGCAGGCTGGCTGTGGGCAGAGTGGCCGTGAGGGGACGGAGAGCCTGGCAGCCCACACCCCCTGCCAGCCAACGGCCAGTGGGACCAACCTGGGACAAAGGAAAACTCACCTCCCTTCTCAGGCCTCAGCCTTCTGCTCTGTGGAATGGGGTGGTAATGACGGCAGGAGGTGAAGTGTGCCCAACCCAGGCCTCGCTGAGCCTCCCAGGACACTCAGAAGGCAGGATGGTGAGTGTAGCTGTGGGGTGGGGGCGGGGAATGAGGGTAAGAAGGCTCTTGGGAAGGAGCCAGGAGGTCAGCCCCTCCTCAGTGGGGTGGGGAGGGCTGCAAATGCTTGCCAGATGCTTCCCAGTCCCGACTCCCGGCCCCCAGGCTGCTCGCAGCCCCCATGCCCAAGCCCGGGGACAGGCTGGTGCTGCAGACTTCACAGAGCACCTTGCGCCATAGATGTCCGCAGCTGGCCTGTGGCCCAGTGATCTCTTCGGTGATACCCGTGTAGAAAACAGCAGGATGAAGACACTGAGATGGGGACCAGGAGGAGCCCCCAAAGGGGCTCCCTCTGGAAAGCCATGCATCGAGGCTAACACTCAGAGTTGGGGAAATCGAGGCCTGGAGACAGAGTGCGACCCGTGCAGGGTCACCTGGCGGTCTGTGTCACAGAACCGAGGCCAACTCAGGCCTCCTGAGCTCCAGGCTCTTGCCTGGGTCTCTGACTTGCTTCGCCTTCCTAAGACAGGCTCTCCCCTCAGGGCCTGGCCCACAGCAGGTTGTGAAAATTAGTTGAATCAACCAAGGAGCCAGTGTCTCAGAGCCAGTGCCCTCCCCCTGCCCGTCTTCTGGAGGGGAAAGTTGAAGGGGGGACAGAGGTGGGCCGGTGGCTGGCCTCCTCTCCCACCGTCCCGCCCGGGTGGGGGCACGCTGTGGGAGGTGGTCCTGGGTAATAAGAGTACCACTTACTTGTAGGCCTGCAGCCAGCACTCCTTTCTGTGCCCTGAATTGTCCTGGTCGAGGCTGAGATGACAGCTCTATGCAAAGCCGCTGGTGGCCACTGCTGAAGTGGGAGGAAGGAAATGATGAAAATAGCCTGGCTTATCCCCCGCATGCAGCCCTGGGGGGCTGTCTCCGGAGGCAGCGGGCCCTTGGGGTCCCAGGGAGTTGGGCCCTAAATGGTAGGTCAGCCCCTGTTTACAGACGGGCGTCCTACAGGTCATCGCTGTGGACTACCAGTGCCTCGCTGGGCCTGGAGGAGAACCAAGGAGGCCCCTCATCAGGTCTCAGGAGGTGGGGAAGGCTTCCAGGAAGATGAGGCCTTGGAGGCCTCCAAATCTCCTATTTCCTTATCTGTAAAATGGGAGCAATCATCCCTGTTCTGCTTGCATACGCAGGGTGTGGCTGGGGCAGCTCCCGTGGGCAGAGAATCCTATGGCGGGAGAACAATGTCATTTTGGATTTTCTTTGGTTCTTCGGAATAGGTCAAGGAGAAAGTCACTTTTTGGTGTCACTGCATCTTCAGCATTTTCTAATAACCTCCTGATCTTTCTCTTTCATGGGATGCTGCAGGCCCATGGCTCCGTCTCCATCAGTCATTGGTCTCTAGCTAGACTTTAAGATTGTTTTTTAATCTGCATTTTATTTATTTCTGTCACTACAGGGGAGTGACATCAGTTTTCCATTTTCGTTAATGATACAGAGTTCTCTTTAAAAGATAAGTGGATTTTCAGTTTATTTATCTATTTTTAAAGATTTTCTTTATTTAATTGAGACAGACAGAGAGAGAGAGAGGGAGCACAAGGAAGGGCAGAGGGAGAAGCAGACTCTCCACTGAGCAGGGAGCCCGGCGTGAGGCTCGATCCCAGGACCCTGAGATCATGACCTGACCTGAGCTGAGGGCAGACGCTGAACAGACTGAACCAGCCAGGCGCCCCTCAGGGGCACTTTCAACACCCCGTTTGCACACTACTCTAGACCCACATGAGCGTGCCTTATGTTCACACAGAGTGTGGGTGTTTTATTTTTTTAGCATCTCGCAACTTGGAGCTTGCTTCAAGGCATGCTCCCGTTCATCGGTGTATCTGTCATCTGCTTCTCCCCGACAGCACAGCAGCTCCCTGAGGGCTGTGTCCGTGGTCAAGCCACGCGCCGAGGTCAGCGCCTGCACCTCACAGGTCCTTCCTTAGTCTGCGCCGGCTGATTGCCGGGGTGAGCCAGCGATTTGACTCTGAAAGATTCCATCAGCAGGAGGACCCCGATCTTCTAACCCGACCCCTCGTTGTGCAGATGCCAGCAGACCACTCAGAGGGGAAGCCTGACTCCCTGAGAGACTCCTTTGCCCCCGTGGTACCGTGGCCCCATGCATGGCCTGCTGCTTCTAGGACACCTGGGATTGGCTTGGGCTTGGTTTTAAGTACCCAAGGCTGTGCATTGCAGCATTGTTAATGGCGGCAAAAAGCTGGAAACGAAAGGAACAGTTACCAGTCATGCACACCACGGGATATTAGACGGACATCACACTAAATGAAATAAAACCACATGAATCATGTTGTTGGAGGAATTTCCATTGTGTTGCTGAGCAGCAAGAGTGAAATGCACAAGAGTATGAAGTAATACCCCATTCTGGTAGAACAAACTGTGATAAACTGTCCTTGCTCAGGACGACTTGAGAACGTGGGCCTCCTTATTTCTTACTGTGTGCCCTTCTCAGGCTAGCCTCTGTCCTCCCCAATGGCCAGAAGGCTGGGGTCTCTCCTGCTGGCCCTGGAGGATGCTTGGATTCTCGCCTTCCACTCAGCCCAGCTCTGCCCTCCAGAGAAGGCGCTGGGCATTGACCTTCCTGTGATGCCCAAAGGGCCAGCCTCCCCAACCTTCTGATCCCTGGCCCAGAGCAGGGCGGGGAGGGAAGGTGTCATTCGGTCCCTTGGAGTTATGACCGCTGTTGCTGGGGTCACCTGGTAGGTACTTGGTGACCACTCTCATCAGAACCTGGACCCCAGACCAGGAACCTCAGCCTCCATGGACCTTCCCTTCTCCCACTTGTGGATGCCTGGGCTTGTCCCATCTTCATCTTCCTGCATGCTTTACAGCATGTGGGGAAGGAGTCCCGGTGAGTGGGTGCCCCCCAGCCCCCAGGTTGTGTTTCCTGACCTAGTTGGGCACACGCTCTTCCTCTTGGACCTCTGAGACTTCCCTCTTATTTTTTAGCATATACAACTTAAAAAAAAAAAAAAGCCAAAAAAAAAAAAAAAAAAAGGCCAAACAAAAAGCAGCATACATGAAAACTCATTTTTGTGGTGGAAAAATTGAATGTTCAGATGAGCAGGAAGAAAACAGTAAAATGTTCCCTCAATTCCAATATCAAGCAAGACTGCCTTTTATTATTATTTTTTTTTCCAGTGCGTATTTCTTTTCTTACCCTGAATTGGGTCACTTGGGACCCACGCTCTCCTGGAACCTCCTTTTTCCACCTGCGAATACACCCACATATGTCACCAGTGTTTGCCATAGTTCCATTGTATGGACATGGCAACTTTTATTTAAGAATTTCTGGGCATGAAGAGTGTGCCTCGCTCTCCTTATCTCGGTCAGACAGGACTTTGTGGGGGCTGAGGGTGGGAGAAGGGCAGCTCTTTGGGCTTCCTGAGGTGGGGATGCTCCTTCCAGGGCTGCCCAAGTTGGCTGACCCAGTATCCTATGCCATTTTTCCTGTGGAGAAACTAAGGCATTCTCCACTCCTGCCCCTTCAGGCTCCTTACTAGGTCACCTCCCCAATCCCTATTTATGGAAGCCCACTCTGCCTGCCCCCCTCCATCCTCTCAGTCTGTAAACATGCTTATGACCTCCTTTATTCTGGAAAAATCTGGTGTGTGTGCACATGTGTATGTGTGTGTGCATGTTTTGAACACCCCAGCACGCTCCCTGTTCTCTTCCCTCAGCCCCTTGGGTTGACAACGAACCCAGATACAGTTGCTACTTCCCGAGGGCACCAAGTCCTATCTCAGTCATATACATTCTCTCTTGGCTTCCAGTACAGCTGCCCCCGCTTGCCCACCTATCTCCAATGCCAGCCCAGACGTGCACATCCTGTCCTACCTGGACATCCCCTCTGAGTGTTCTACAGGAGGCTCATACCCACCATGGCCTAAACCTGGGTGTCTTTCCCCCAAAAGCCAGCTCTCCTAGTGTTTTCCACCTTAGAGAGGGCCACCTGCAACCACCCAGTCACCCAGCTGGAAACCTGGGGCACCATTAGGGATGTCCTCCCTCCCCCCACTGCCAAATCCCATGAACCGCCAAGTTGGCCAACTGTCTTCTGCATATCTGTGGACTTTGTCCCCTTCGGGGTGGTTCTCTACTCACTCCATGTCCCCTTCTCTGGCCCTGTCTTCCACTTCTCTCAAGTAACCCTCACCCCCTCACTCCTCCTCTGACATCTTCCTCCATTTCTAGAATGGGAACCCAGCTCTCCCCCAGGACCCTGTCCTCTTGCCTCTTCTTGCTGTTTTCTGGGATTTCTCTTCCTCACTCAAACCCCAGCTCTTTTGATATGCATGTTGTCTGCCGGGCCACCTGCTCCTGCCTGCTGCTCCCCATCCTGGTTACTCCTCTTCTAGGTGACCCTCACTTTGGGCACAGGGCTTTCTGTCCACCATGAACATTGTCTCCTTCTCTGTAATTCCAGCATTCATGCAGATGACTCTTAGTCACCCTGGCCTCATAGTCCGTTGACCTCTCCCGGAGCTGTGCTCCTGTCCTCAGGTCTACCACAGCCACTCACCCTCACGGTCCTACCCCAGACTGGTCATCATCAGCAACTGTTCCTCCTCGAAGTCTTGATACAAGTGCCCCACCTCTGGACTACACCTCCCCATTCCAGCACAAGTCCTTGAGCCTACCCACTCTGGTCCTTCTCCAGCTTCATTGAGGTCTCCGGGCTGGTGGCCTTATCACTGTACTTTTATACTTTCAACGGCATGGCCTCACAAGCTGACCCAGGGATGACCACTGTCCTTCAGTGTCCACTCTTCCCTTCTTTCACACAAATAGAATTTTAGCTGAACATGTGGCCTTTAAGCTAAAGACTACATTTCCCAGCCTCCTTTGCCTTCAGATGTAGTCATGTGACCAAGTGTAGGCCAATAGGAAAAGAGGAAGAAGTG